AATTAATGCGACACAGGTGACTATTTTTCTGTCTATAATTTTGAGGATGTCAAATATCTCATTTGTTTCTGAAAATGGCGCATTTAGCTATTTAGATCCTAATTGTGTTAAAAGTTCAGTGGAGTCAGGGGGTCGTTTTGCAAGTTTGTTTCCTGTCCCGGTTACAACATTATTGCAACTTTCAGGGGAAAAGAGCCCAAACCAAGCTGTGGGTATTCTGCATGACTGCAGAAGGTTGTGTGATAACAAAAATAGCCTCATTCTCTAAGCAGACTTTAGTTCAACTGTTTCAATGATATCATCACTGAAATCTTTATCACTACTTGGCAAATATTATCCACCCATATCAGTCTTTAAGATATTCTGTTTGGTAGCAGCCCGTTTCTGGTACTGTTTTTCAGGCACTGGTTTCAAAATGCATGCAGTAACTAGAAAACAAACTGTATGTCTGCTTAATGTATTTTGACTTATGAAAAATGTGAGACTAATTTTTCACTACCACTTCTGACTGTAAATAATATCTCTACAAAGCTGTAGCTAGCAGCATTACCCCGCATAACTTAAAGTTTATGTACTGCTGTCTGCTTTAAACCAGAATTTTCAGCCTTCTCACAGTCACTCCTGATGTTTGTGTATTTTTCTTATTGCTAGTAAGTTTATTTGCTATTCTATAATTCCTCTTTTTAAAGTTCCAGGAATAAAAGTATATTAATAAAAAATTATTTCCGGTACTGATTGGGTCCTCACCCTTATTTTATAAGTTGCTCAAAACCAAGGCAGTATCAATGAGAAAACATATTTATAATCATACCAGGAAACAGTTTTATGGTTAGGTGGTAGCCAATATGCTGCAGAACATAAACAGGCATTCTATTCATAAAAGTACAATTAAATCAGAAGACATAAAATGATCGGTTAAAAATTTTCAAAGCTAAACATCACTAGTAAGCTTTTAAGTAATGTGAGAACAAGCTTGTTAAGGAATTGTTTCAGCAAACTGAAATTTTTCAGTCAGTTGAAACTATATTTCCTCCTCCTTCCCAACCCTTTAACTTTTTGTGTGGTTAGAACAGTTAAAAGCTGCACGTGTAACTCATCTCTTCAAGGCAGAGTACAAGGCATAGTGCAGAAATAGAGTGGGAGAGGTGCAAGGAGTAGGGCAGTAACTTCTACAGCAGTTGGAGGCATTGCTGCGGGCTTCTCCCTTTACTGACTCTATATGGGAGCTTGATCAGAACTGCTGCTTGGCTTAACCTGTTCTTTCATTGTTGATGCCACTGGCTTGGCCATTGTGGAATTATATGGAAAGTGTATTTTTCATGAGTGAATTTCCTTTAAAAAAATAAGGAGAGAAAGATTTTACAGTCTCCATGTACAAAAACTAGGAGAAAATGTAAAAAATCCACTCTTATTATGGGTTTTGGAAGTTACTGAGTCTTGGTACAAGGTCTCACTATGGCAGTTTTGTTAGACATTCTCCTTTTGTAGAAATCAGATTTTTAAGAACAAGGACAATTAGTAACAATCATTTCAGAGTGTCATCTCTCAGGCAGGATAAGTTTTCTTAAAAAACATTATTCAATGCTTTTGTTAGGTTTGAATGATAAAGGCAGCAGTGTTACAATGACCATCAAATGGTACAGTAAATTGTCTGTGAGCAATACAATAGACATATCAAGTGCATTAATTTCTGTACTGAACAGATCAGAAACACACACCAAGAGTGCTAATTTAAGGCTCTTTAACATATTAATGTAAACAGTGCATTAGGAAGGGGCAATCAAAAAACCCACTAAGGCCTATATTGTATGAAGTATATTGATATAAACTACATATTTTTTTTCTTTCATGAAGTGTAATAATGTGAATACAAATGTTAACTCTTACTCAGTGGTGTGATCAGATTCATTAGGTAAAAGGCAGTATCTCACAATATAAACAGAAAATATCCTATACTGTTTAGCTTCTGCATGTTAAGAGTTTTGCTCTTTGTTACATAGAATGTGTTTCCACAACAAATTACAGCAATTTAATGTCACAGAATATTTTCCTCTTGTACAGTTGGGAGCCACGTAGCAGTTGTGTAACACACTCATTGCAGGTGACCTTCATAACTAGGTGAAACTTTTGAAGTTCACTGGTATTGGACCTTAACATGCACCCAGAGTCATGTTGGAGTCCACCTTCCCTGTCAGAACATAAAGCTCAGGGTGAAGTTTCTCAGTGCTATGACACTGATTGTTTATTTTTGCATTAATTCTTTAATAATAATTTGTCACAATACATAGAGAAAAAATTAAAGTTGTTTTTCATGTTGATTGAGATTTAAAATAGCTTCAATTTCCCTTTCCTTTCTCCAGCCAAAGCATTTTCATATATCTGTGAGTGTCATTATTTTTGGCCATTCTGAGGCATGAGTGAAAAAGACATGTCCCATCAGTCAACAATACATCCTTTTGTGAGGGGATGAGAGATGGTGGTACCACTTGATGGTAAAATGCTTTTCCTGCTCTCATTTCATTATCACAAGGAGAGAAACATTGTATTTCTCTTTCTATTATGTATGTATTCTTAATATTGCCAGTGAGAAAAACTAAGAATCCATGAGAGTAGACTGAAAATTAAACATATATGCCTGGGTGTGTATGCATGAACACATGTACACATCTCTGTTCTTACATATAAAATCATACATAGGCTTTTTCTTCTTTTAATATGAGCCTTACATCTTGTTCTTACTATAATGATAGCTTGATTAATTTACACTTGGCTAGAGCTTCTCTCAAGTTAGTCTGGCTTGAAGGAGAGACGTTGTGCTTCAAAGTAGTTGTGCTTGGATAAACAGCAGAGAAGTTCAGTCATGTCTCATTACCAGCTTCAGAGCTGGCTGCATAGTTGTACACTGGCTTTATGCCACACTTCACTTATGAGCCAACTAAAATCAAGAAACCATTTTCTCTTTGGAAATCTCCCTTCCGTGTTGTACTTTAAACTGTTCCTGCTGGAGGAAATAAGCAGAGAAGGGAAAGATTGCCACTGCTTGAGGAATTACTGGGATTCATCCAGCTTGCCTGATCTTAGATTAAAAAACAACAAGTGAGGAGGAAAGGAAAAGCAAAAATTTACTGTTTGCATTTTTTCATTAAATGGTTATACCAAGTTCTGTCAAATAAAGAAGTAGATATTTCAGAAGCTATGTAATGTTTTCATCCACACAAAAAAACATGGAGAAACAGTGCAAGAGAAAATTAAGGGGAAATCTTTCAGTTCTTAGACACTGCAGATGGCAATATCCAGGTGAAGGATGGTAAGAGAGGAAAAAGTAATGGATATGGAGAAAATCTGTTTAAAATTAGAGATAGAGAAATATGAAAGGAAGAGAATTCAAAAGGGAGGGAGACCTGAAGAGCTACCAGAGGGAATAAAGACATGCGGGAATAGTGTATGAAGTGGCATTGACTGGGAGATGAGAAGACGACAGCATTGGCAGAACACTGTTCAGGATGATCCCACAGGCCCACAGTGCTCTGTACACCCGTGGTGCTTGGTCATGGCATGGTTCCCAGCTGGGAAAGACTGACAGCATAACAGACATGTTGGGAAATGTGCTTGGTCGGATGGGTTCCTATTCTTTCAGCTAATGCTCTCTGATGCAGTGTTTATACCTGCGCTGGTAAATAATACCAGGTGTGCTGGATGAGGCAGCTCTGTTAGACTAGTAAGCAGGGAAAACCACTCTTTTTGTCTCTGCCCTCTTTTTGACCCTGGAAAATGAGTAGAGGTTTCTACAGATATATGAAGGACAGACCTCTCAGGTAGTGTGTGCTGCTTTTATAGTTACTTTTCTGATTATAGTGGCCATGTTTTTGCTAAATTACTTGAACATAAAAGGAGAAATTTCCAAAAGAAATCCAAAGAGAATACTACCAAACCACTGTTTTCTAAATCAGTAGATATTCCAGTATTTTTGTTTATTTGTTTTGTTAGTTAAGATATCTAAAATACTTTTGCTCATTCAAACATTGGGAAGAGAAAGTTGGCAGTTTATTTCCAAAAGAAAAAAACTATGTTTATTCAGAAAAGAGACTAGAGTAACCACAGTAAGAAATTCTTAGTGCACAGTCTCACATGAAAAGAAATTAAAAAGTAACACTATTGAAACAGCAATGTGCACCAAGTATAGATCTCAATACTTTTGTTTGTAAATGCTAGTTATTATTACCTATAAAAGGCCATGATGCTATGTAATCTCAAATTCACTAATACAGCTTTTGCATGCGAGGCTTCCACAGAAAATTGGGTTTCTTGGCTCTCTTTGCATAAGGTTACTAGTTACACTGCTGAGATAAGTCTTATCAGCTGCTGTTTCAGAGCAATACTTCAACTTATGCCTGAATTTCACATCAGAGAAAGTATATAAAATACATTTATCTTAGAATAAGTGAATACAGGCCAAAATAATAATATGTGTTTTCTTAAACATAGGTTTCTAAATATAAAATTCAGCATGTGTATAAAACATACCCCACTGAATAGCTCAGTCACTTTGATCAGTTCTATTTTTCCTGGAAATAGTAGCAAACCCCTCATCTATCTCAGAGATAGTGATTTGTTAATGCAGGCTGTACTGCAAAGTCACAATCAACAAGGTGAGAGTTAAGTAAAAATCTCTTTAGCAGAAACATATGCAAGGACAGGACTGCTCTATGAGGATATTGCTTATCCAACTGATACTGGTTGTAATTCAATAGTAGCTTAAATTTCCAGTTTTCATATTCTTTTAAAAATTCCTCTATCACAGATCCTTAAGACTTTTTTGCACTTTTTTTACCCTCAGTTTCAACTCACATTAGATCCTGTGATAAGTTTTGGATGCACTTTGATCTTGTATTATTGTTCTGTGAGTCCGTTAATACCATTGTTAGCTGGTGTATAAATCTATCTATAGTTATTTATTAATCTTTTCATTATACTGACTGTGGTTCTGTGGTCTTTTTCAGTGTACCTTGAGGACAGTTTTGTGAAATCTGGAGTATTCAATGTGTCAGAACTTGTGAGGGTGTCAAGAAGTAAGTTAATATTTGTGTTTAATTGTTTCCAAAGCCTCCTATAATCAAGTGAAGGTTTTTTCCTTGAACTTTTTTCTCCACAAGACATAAGATGCATACAAAATGCTTATAACAATGCACAATTTTGATATATTTTACCACAGTATTACAGTCCATCTTGAACATGTTTGTAATAAAACAAATAGGTCTTCTACCTCTTTGATATTTAAAGATGGAATCAATTTGTTATATCTCCCTCTGCACACCTAGTGGTCTGATGTTTCAATAAAATTACCATATGTAGCAAAACCTTCCATTGTTAGACTTAACAGTTTTTTAAGGATGCTCTACACATCCTTGGGTATTGCTAAAAGATCAGATTATTCCTTTAGTTTTTTTTTTTTAATTTGCAACTGTTAAAAATCACGGTATGGATATAAAGAATGATCAACAATATATGAAATATTTGTGTTTCTTTTAGTCTTAGCATTGGCTGTAACTGAATTTCTAATTACATTGTCTTGTTTTGCCATCAGAAATATTACACACATGAACATGTAAAAATCTTCATAAATATTAAATATAAAAGTACAGGTGAAGCTTTGACTGCAGAATGAAAAATCAAGAAGAATAGAAGGTCTCTTTTGTTGGCATCTAACAGTTGTTATAATAGTATAGCATAAAACGTCCGCATTTTCATTTTGCATTGCTTCCTGACCCTTTCTTTTCTTCCTTTACTATCAACACTATTAAAGTATTTCTCTCAAGACTTCATTAGGAAGTAAAGAAGAATAGTTGAAAGTTGTAGAAGTGTAAAAGTGTCCACAGTGATGATACAACATTGTAAAGACTGACTGGTCCAGAAAAATCACTTTTCTGGTGAGGTGAGGAAAAAGTAAAAGAGGCTTCCAAAATTTCTAAAATGTCTGTCCATATTTTGCACAGGTGTTAACTCATGCAGGGTCCTTGAAGAATTTAATTAACTTTCTGAGGCTTCAGAGGCATAGGTTATTTCATTTTCTGTGGTCAGAAATGAATATTCAACAACTGAAATTTTGTTAAATCCTTCAGCAAAACAGTGAGCATTGCAATCCTGCAGTGCTAAGACATATCTTTTCTTGTGCCTGTTGAAGATATGATTTTGCTGTTTTAGAAGGCTGAGGATGTGTGAATTATAGCTTTCTTTTTGTTGTCAGGTGGTTAAGTACATTTTAAAGTGTAAGGCCCTTCAGGTTAAAAAAGAAACAATATTGTAATTGTGCTATGAAACTGTGCATTATGGAGCTGTTATACATGATATACTTCTAATAATAAGCATTAAAGGATGTGGTTTCTGTGGGATATCTTACCATGCATTTGTTTAACCTCAAGCCACAACAGAGTTGTACTTAAACTGTCAGGAAAAATACAAACCTTCAAATACATTACAGAACGTGCAATTATTCTTTTAAGTGCCAAAGGTAGTTAAAATGCACAATGCACAGACAATGAACAAAGGTAAATACACCACAATATATAATACATAATTTATTCTTGAATTACCAGAGTCTGTGTGGTACACAGACCCTAAAAGGAGGTGAAGGTAACACTGACTCTGTGTATTTGCATGTAGGTGTACATATGCAAAGCAGAATACGTGGCATTGGGCAAAAGAAAAAGAAGGCAGAAAACCAGGCTGTCAACACAGCAGGCTATTTTTAATACAGGAGAGTTAACATTAAGGAAAAGTAATTAGTGTTTTTCCAGGTTTCTTATTTCCATTTTTTCAGTTCTTTAATAAATAATACTAGCTGCATAAACCCAGCCTCATTCATTATAGTGCTTGAGGTTTGTATTATCTTTTCCATATTGGTGATTCCATGTTATCTCTTATAAAATAAATGTATTCTGTCTGCACAACTGCTAAGGCAATACTACAGAAGACAATTCACTTTTTAGATACATAATCATTGATGCAACTTGTCTGTACTTGGTTCCCACAAGAGGCAGAAAATTAGGTACTTGTAGTAACATCCTGATATTTTTCCAAGTGTTAAAAAAGAAAAGATAGCTAAAAAGATAAAAGATTATCTCTGACTTCTTATGATGATGTGTTTTTCAGCACCCATAACCCAAGGAAGTGGAGTAAACTTCCCAATTGGAGAGCTTCCGAGCCAGCCATATTACCACGATATGAATTCGGGTGTAAACCTACAGAGGTCCTTGTCCTCTCCACCAAGCAGGTAAAAACTCAAAATAAGTGCTAATGTGAACCATGTTTAATAGTGTAGGACAAGCAATTCACAAATCCTGTCAACAGTCAACTGCTTTGTTAATTTCCTCTGATTTTGTGAGGCTAGCTACTTATGTATGTCACCATAATCTCTGTACAGACTTGTAAATTATAAATTTTGTCATTTGAAATGTTGTCATTGTTGCCTGCCATCTTGCATGACGTTGAAGATGGTGGAAGCTTTCTTCAGGATTTGAGGTGCCCACTAATTGATTTTGCCAGGAGGACAGCTACACATCCCCAAAGTGCTGCTGAGCTGCAGGAAGGTCCAGCACTTGGGAGCATGCTGGCCCAGCTCAGAGTGGTTGTGGGGGAAGAAGGGCTGTCTTTCAGGGCTCCCTTTTGGGCCTCCGTCTTGCAAGAGATGTTTGGAGAGATACTCTTTCCTCTAGAAAAGGTCTTAGGACAGGTACCTAAAGACGTTTTCATCCGTAACAGCCCAGCTCATGCAAATACGTTTCATGCCTCAATTCTTCAGGCAGCATTTCCCAACAGGCTGGAAAGAAGGAGGAGCATGTGAGATAGTTACAAGTTAATTTTTCTCAAGAGTCTCCCTTTGCCTGCTACAGGTGATTTAATCTGAGGGACTGACTTCCCCCTTGTTCAACATGCTTCCTTCTCCCATCTCTGAGAAAAAGGTCGCATTTCCTCCCTTAGGAAAACTGGTGGGCCCATGAATGTAGGGCTGTGCCCTGCTGTGCCCTCCTCCTGACTACCAGATCATGTAGTGTCTGTCAGACCCCTAGGGCCCCTTGGTTTTCTGAAACTGCCTGCTACACCATGAAACCACAAGCACTATAGGAGCTGTCATTGCCCCACAATTCTGCACCCCAATCAGTCAGGAAGTATCTGCACAATGGGACAGGACTTAATAGGACTATCAGGGCGCTGAGGTATCAGGGTGCTGGTCTTCCACCAGCGCTTGATTCTTCTGAGTTATTTTGCTCATATTCCTGTATTTCATTCTGTCATATTTTCAGCTTGGCAATATACCAAATACATTTTAGAAATTGATGGATTAATTAGAATAGATGGATTAATTATCATACTGTAGCAATAGCAGTTATAGTAGTAATAGTAGTAGTAGAAGTAGTAGCATTGGTAGTAGCAGCAGTAATAATAATAATAACAACAACAATAATAATAATAATAATACCACACCATTAAAAGCTTATTCTTGTTTTCTTTGGCAGTCAGTAAACTCAGGTTCAGTATATATTGCTATTCACTTTCCTTCACTGTTTTGAAGTTCTGGCTCATTTTATATGATGTGACTTGAAATATTGTTGGGCCTTTTGTTGTTTTTAATTAAACTAGTCAAAAATGAAAAGTGTTTGTTTCAAACTAGCCCTCTTTGAAAAGTTTGGGAGTTTGACCTGATGAAATGCAGTAAAGTATATTTTTTCCTTATTACCACATTCACAAAAGTTCCTGTTCTACCTTGGCGTTATTGGTAACACTTTCCAGTGACTTGCTTCACTTCATGGTTCTTGCATAGCGTTTAGTACCTTCATGACACAATCTGTCTTTGGTAGGCTACAGGAACTGGTTTATTGCTCCATGAAATGCTATGGACTGTTATGTTACTCATTCATGTGATCTTTGAAATATTTAGTCATGTGAATAGCACAAGTGCGTACCTGCATCATATATTATTAACATTGCCTGTCAAGGTAATGTAAGTTGTAATATCCAGGGGTTTTGTTGGCTTTTTTGGCTTTGGTAGTTTATATACCACTACTAAATGAGTATTATATTCACTGACAAATCTCACAATTCTTCAACAGCAAAAGACCCAAAACTATCTCCATAGATGAAAATATGGAGCCAAGCCCCACAGGAGACTTCTATCCTTCTCCAAATTCACCTGCTGCAGGAAGTAGGACATGGCATGAAAGAGATCAAGGTGAGTAGCATGGAGTTTTTTTACTTGAATTATGCTCATATAGCCATTTCATTGCTGCAATAAAATGATGACTTTTTAGAAGAATCTTTTTTCTGTGTGGAGTATGTATTTGCTGGTTTTGTAAATGTATTTAAAACCAACAGGATATTGTATAAACAACCACCATAAACAACATTATTCTTTATACCTAATAATAATAATAATAATAGTAGTAGTAGTAGTAGTAGTAGTAGTAATAATATCTTTTCTATCTGGTGCTAGCGTTATTGTTTGAAAAGACATGTGACAAATGAGGTACTTGATATAGTCTGTGCCATGATCATCCCAGTAGAATTGGGAGTCCAGTGCTTTCAGAAATCAAAAGATCTCCTTAATATGATTACTAAAACATAAGATTACACCATTTCTTTACTACCATGGCATGGACATTTAGTCTCTACCGTGTGACTCAGATTAGATTCAATAGGCTCTTTCTGAAGAGCCCACATGTAGCTCTGTGGGGCTCTGTCTGAGGGGCTTGGTAAGTAGTGGCATGTTCTGGGTTATCCAAAGCAACAAACATGCTTACTGTGGAGAAGAAGAGTGAAATTAATCAAAAGTCAAAAGAGTGAAATCGATTGTCATAACTCTCTCTCATGTTATCTTGATGTTTTATAAACCTAGGTGCCTGTGCAGTTCTCTCCCCTTTGTCCCCTCCCCTTTGTTATGTGACAATGTGTTTAAACTCATATATTTGAACAGTGTTGGTTAATGGATCCTGTGGCTGAGGTACTGCAGCTGTCTGGAGGGACTGTGACATGTAAAGCATAGTATGTAAAAGGGAAATAGTTAAAAAGACATGCAGCTCCTTCCTTTGGGAATCTTTCAATATTTGTCCTTAGTTTTCACATCGACTGCTGATCATTGCTCTCAGTTCTTCCGCAACTGAGTGACCCTTTGGTCTTACCTCATTTTTGTATTGTTTTAAAGCTTCTTAAAAAAACAACAACAAAAAAAGAACCAAACAAAAAAAACCCCAAAATAAAAAGACCCCAACAACAACATCAACAACAACAACAACAACAAAAAACCAACCAAAAACCCCCAACTCTCTTTTTCCCCCCTGCTGAGTTTCCTATTTCATCTGCATGTGCAAGGAAACATCTGACTGGTATTTCTTTTAGTTGCCAAACTTTCACATTTCTATTATAGAGGGTCTCATTTTAATCTGCTTTCGCCTACCTTTTTGTCTGTGTTCTTTCCATTAGGCTGTTCTTCTCACTCAGTGTTAACTAGTTTTTTATTCATAATTTCTTTTTTGCATAATTTCTTAGGGAGCCTCTGATACTTACTTTTGACTGTTCGAAGCATTCACTTTAGTATTTTTTAAAAAGAAGGTTGCCTGTGGTTTTGCATAATCTAATTTAAGAACAGTATAAATAGCAGATCTGCCATCCAGAATCTTCCTCCTTATGCAAAATATTTTTCTCTGTGAATGCTACTTGCTTTGCCATGAAACTTTATTAAAATTCTTCATAAAAGACTGGACCATACCTCAAATAATTTTTTTACTTTCTAGATAAGATAAATTATTTTTATAGTTGTAGGGAAGACATGTATCCCCATTTCTGCAATGTAGTTTTGTCCTACTGAGTGAGCTGTAGGGGCTTTTGGGAAGTTCTCTGCCAAATAGACTCCTGAGTGCAAGTCCTGCTGACAGAGCCTTTGTCAGGTGATCTTTATAGTTCTCAAGTATCTCAACTGCTTTTTAGGTTTTGAATCATTCTGCAAAGAATTATTTTCCATGAACACTGGATTTGTTTATGTTTGTATGAACTTCGTATTGCAGTTATCAGTAGTGAATAATGTTGTGATTTAAATTGCTTGAGTGTATTTACAATGAACCTTTACTTAATTTCTGTATCATTAGGTAGCTAGACTTCTGGAGTGAAATAGCTTTTAATATGTTCCATAAAATAGGGAACTCCAATATGAGGAAGATAAAAGACTTAAATCAGGGTGTTTTGCTTCCTGGAGTTTGCATCCCTCCTTGAATGTCCTGTCCTCCATCTATAATGGGCTTAGTGAAATTTTACCAGATTCCTGCCAGAGAGATAGCCTTTAAGTCACTATTATGGACTTTCTTTTTTCCATCCTTAAGATGTTCTTCCATTCCTGCAGAGGCACAGATGCAGCACTGTCCAGCGCAAAAAGCATTGTACTGGGGGAATTAATTAGAAGCATTTTGCCCCTAAAAAGTTATGTTTGCCTCTGATCACTTTTTGAGATTATTTGCTGCTGCAGAAACACCATAAGTAGTAACTGATAAACAATCCCTTCCCTTGGTGCCCGGGCTCAGTGGGAAGGAGTGTGGGGCAGCTCCTGGCATATTTGTTCCGCTGCTAGTTTGTTAGAGGCTCGATATCATCTTCATGGCACTGATTTAATCTCTCTGGTGACCAGTGGGGTGACCCAAAGGAGTGACAGATTAGGTTAAATATTAGAAAAAGGCTCTTCACACAAAGGGAAGTGGACCTAGTTCCAACCTGACAGAGTTCAAGTAGCATTTGGACAGTGCTCACACACGTATGGTTCTCAGGGCTGCCCGTGCAGAGCCAGGAGTAGGGCTATGGTGATCTTTTTTTGGTCCTTTCCAGCTCTGGATATTCTATGATGATTCAATTACTTATATGTATCTGTGTAAAAACTCCTTTCAGACACTGATGTTGTATCATGATATTGTATTTATGAAAATCTATTTTCTGCTTCCATATGCCTGCAAACACAAAGATAATATAAGTAAATTTTGGAGGTGGTTTCTATGCCAGAGATCTCACTTGTCTTATTTCCCTTTTATCTATGTAAATCTCTGTGTTATATGAGGTTAGGATAAATGAAAAAGAAATAGGACTTTTGGGATCATGTTTGTGTTTATCCAGTGTCAAGAAGGAATGATCATGTGGCCACACTGGATTGCTTCTTCAGGCAGTATCCACAGGTCATCAGCACCAAAAATGCAAATCATTTCACAGTACCCATAAATAAATATGTCTCTGGATATCATGTTTATGGGTAAATAGCTTCTCTACCATGCAAATGCAATTTTAACTTTTCTAAGAGAGACCACATCAGGAATAGTGTTGATACTAAAATATACCATGGTTAATTTCAGTTTCATTGTCTCAGTTTTGGACTTGACAGAGAGAGATTTTTAACTTCTGAAATGAAATAAGTTTAGTTTCTTCATCACCATGTCTAAATGTAAAGTATTTTCATGGAAATTGAAATGACATAGTTTTGAAAGACTCTTTAATCATTAAGGCTTTTCACATCTTTATTTAAATATTTCTAAAGTAACAGAAATGTCATGAGTGGTAGTTTGGAACTGGAAGTTGTAATAAAACAATAACATCTGAAACACATTTGAGTAAAATATTTAAGATTTTCCTAGGTGTCTGAGGGGCATTCTAACAGTTTTGATAGAGAGAATGAGACAGAAATTAATGGGCAACACAGAAATATACTGAAATTAAAAATAGGACAGAGGAAAATTTTGCAGTAGGGTGAAATGGGTTAGATTAACTTTCCATTGCTTAAAAAAAAAAATCATAGTTTAGTACGTAAGAAGAGTTTAGGAGAGGAGTGATTTTGTTGTATTCATTATAGGTTTTATAACTTCTCTGTGCAGGCATGCATTATGAGGGTCAGGGACATGAATACAGGAGTACTTGTGGTGTCGTCAGGATGTAGCATTTGTGGAACTAAGAAAAAGAAATCTAGCCTAGTTACAGTAAAATATTGCTCATACCAGACTCTGCTTTCAGTTGCAAAACTCAAGACTGTCCTTTTGCTGTTAACTGTCTTCCTGTCATAGTACTTCCAAAAATGTTTTGATAAGATTTCCAGATGTTGTGCTTTATAGTCTGTTTTGGGGGAGCTGTTTCTTTGAAGTTTTAACTCTGGGCAGAAATAAGCAAGCGTACCCTAAAATTAGTAACTTTATAGATGGCATACACTTAGTAAGAAAAAAATCCACAAAGAATTATGTTACCAATCTGATATAAAAATATTAGTCCTCTCTAATTAACCCAAATTAACATGAAAAATAAGTTTTAAAATATTTTTATTTATTGAAGTTGGATTATTGATCTTTATGGAAAAAAAGAAAATCTTATTAAGCCATGATACTGTCCTGGAGATTTGCTCCACTGGCTTGCAAAAAAGTTTTTGATTATTTTAAAAATATATGTAACCACAAGAGTATGTGTAACTGTTTCAAAAACAGATTAAAAAAATACTGTGGAATGACAGTGTTGTTTTTTATTTTGGAGACATCCAGTGAATGTGGGAAGATTCTGTAGTTTTTGCCATTATTTTTTGCTACGTTGAAATGCTAAAAATATGCTTCTATTTGGTGACTTTTTGAAACAGGTTTGAGGTTTTCTGGTAGTGCAAATAGGCAGTTTTATAACTTCAGAGATTTCTCCCAAGACTTTTGCCATTAGCCTTTCAAGTAACTAACTGTCCTCCAAAAATCCTACAACCCAAGAAAGGGAAAAGTCATCTCTGAGAATGCTGCATTACTTAGAAGTTGAGCCCTAACATGACAATTGGGATTTCAATTGCTGTGTCTTCTGTCAGATATTGTACAAGTTATTTTTTCTCTCTTGTGGCTTGTTTCTTCCAACTGGATGCCTGAATAACTTCAATAATATCTGGATCATGTCTTAAATCTCCATCAGTTAGAAATACCTCTATGTCTACTAATTTACTGTAGATCTCTCCCAGTCTTCCTTTCTCCAGGTTGCTGTTACTGAATTCTTTGCTATGTTTCCATATCAAACAAAATTTTAAGTTCCTGCACTAGTAAGATTTTGTGAGATAGATGTAACTTTCTGCCTGAATAAAATTTATGAGTGTTTGAGCAATATAGAAATTTTATGCAGTAAAAAAAAAAAAAAAATTCCCTCACAAAATATGGGAGAGGAAGTTACTAAAAATTTAAAATGACTCTAGTGACT